AAATTTCCTTCTAGATGCTCGCCTGTATGGAGGGTCTTCTGTCGTCCTCAATTCAAGTGATATTTCCATGACCACTACACTACAGGGCGATGCAACGCCTGAAAGTGAACGGCCTATGTTCCGGACAGTCCTACGACCACTGGATACCACTTTCAGCAGATGTGAGGACAGAGCTCCGCTGGTGGCTCCTACACATGAAATAGCAAAGCGATCTTTGGCTCCTCTCCGGATTTCATACTGGAATCGGACGCCAGCCTCTGGGGCTGCGTGTCTCACTACACGGAATCCTCTATGGGGGGACCTTGGCAGGACGAGGAGGCCAAACTCCACATCAACTGCCTAGAATTGGTCACGGGGTCCTTCGCAATTTGCAGTCTGGCAAACTGACATGTCAAACTGCTGCATCGTACCCTACATGAACAATGTCTCTGCGGTGCAATATATAAATCGCCTAGGTGGAGCCAGATCCTAAGCTCTCAAAGAGGCCACCAAAGACATCTACAGTATCTGCCTCTTGCGCAACATCACGTTGAAAACGGAATATCTCCCGGGGATTACCAACCTGATGGCAGACTGGTTCTTTCACTACTGGTGAGACAGAGGCGACGGAAAGCTCAACACATCTATGTTCCGGGAGTTGAAACACCTCAGGAACCCACTTCAGCCTAGACAATTTCCAGTGTTCCTGGTCAGTCCTGAGCCTATCGCAAGCTGCCAATGGCACCAGGAAATGCTACATCTAGGCATGGTCCTTTTGGAGTCATTGGTGTCTCGAAAGGGATTCCGATCCCTTTACTGCACCTATCCCTATCATCTTGAACTATATATCTCAGCTTTTTCCCATGGTCGATCATATCGTTCCCTCAATGTAGTGCGTTCAACCATGGTAAAATATTTTATAAATAATAATTTCTGCGGCACACGTTTCCATACAAGGCTTCCCAGTAAGTCAAGATCCTCTGGTATGTTGTCTGTTGCAGGAAGCAATATTATCTAGACCTCCAGTTCCTAAATATTCTCATCTCTGGGATGTAGACGTGGTGCTGCATTTCCTTAGAGATTGGTCAGATAATCCAGGTCTATCTTTTAAACAATTATCTGTGTAATTTACCCTTTTATTACGGACATCATGCGTTGCATGTATTGGACACGTGAGAGTACTTTTAGAGTATTTTATTTTTGCCAAGTTTCTCATGCTTCTTTCGCTCTTCTTAACCATCAGCATTAAAAATGCAAATATGAAGCCTCCTGTCATGTGGTAAAATTGTAGATTATGCTAAAGTAGTGTACCTATAATCTTAATTTTAATAATGAAAGGAGGCGAATATTTCCCTCTCGTATTTTCTCTTCCCTCCCTTTTTTCTGTGTGGAATGTATCAGTGTTCTCTGTCTTATGTACTATAATAATTTTATAATAATTTTATAGGGGGGGGTCAATATTCTATAGTAATTAGATAATATGTACTCAGAAATATGTTGTTGCAATGTCAATAATGGTTAGAATAATGCAATTGTTTAATATATGCGGACAATCGGCCATTTCAGATGCCTTTCACTTTTTTTCTTTTTCTTTCAGTGTAATTGAGTATACCATTTCAATCTTCTTCAACCACTTTCCCTTCTGGATCTACGGAATGCTGCATTGACTAATTGAGACTTTGACATACGTTTGTTTTCATGGTTTATATATCTTGTTACCTGTTTATTGTCGCTACAAAAAAAGAGGAAGGGCGTGAGCTTACAGGGCCTTTTGTATAACATCCTCCTTTTTTCTGATTGGCTGTTTCTGTGCTGCTGTAGATTTTCAGTAAAGAAAGTAATGCAAATATTTGCCTCCTGTCATTACTAAAATTAAGATTATAGGTACACGACGTTAGCATAATCTACAATTTTCAATGTTTGGCAAAAATAGCCAAACTCTAGAAGCATAGCCGACTTGGAGAATGTTTCCAATTAATCTATTTTATCCTTAAATTTGAAATTTACTTTGAATTTAATTGCAATCTCCAACAATTTTCTCTTAAGTCGACAACCCTGATAGCGTCTAGCTAAGATCTATTTCTCTGAGTGTCTCACAGACAAATGGCGGTTCCCTGTGACATATAAAAGCACAGATCAAGTGAATTGTGGCACAGAGATAGTACATATTTCCATATATTTATTTGTGCTTAACTTTTATTGCAGGTATGATTTGCCTTTAAGGATGAGAAATGTGTCTGGGATAGATATATGGCAATTCAGAAGATTACATATTTCTGTGCTTTTTAAGTCTATAAGAAAATGGACTAGAAATGCCAGTTGCTTCTTTTCTGCTGTCAAAGTCCGTGTTGTGCATTCGGTGTTCAAAGCGGGTGTAGCTCCGAGGTTGGTATACTGAAATATCAAAGCTCCAATACAGATGTTATAACAATCATTAATGGCAAGCTTCCCAAGATTGTGTGTGTGTGTGTGTATAGTTATATATGTATGTAAGGTTACCAGATCCACCAAGTTTTCTGAGACACGTATCACATATTTGTATTGATGGGCAGCACCTGAAAAGGGTTGCCCTGTAGTATGTAGAATTCAGAAGAAGATGTATTAGATTAAGTAAGTAAGTAGGATATGACGAATCCTGCAGAATTTGCATTATACATATTGCAGTGCCACCCTTTTCATGTGTTTTCATAAATATGACAATTATATGTGTCCCTAAAACCATGGTGGGTCTGGTAATTAAAAAAAAATATATATATATACATAGACAGACACGAAGATACACATATAGATAAGTGGATAGACGAACAGACAAGCAGACAGACAAATAATATAGATAGATAGATAAATAGATAGAATTTTTATATTTTCTGATAATATGACACCAAAAACATTTCAGCATAATAAAGGAAGGTGGTCTAAGTACTTTAAATAGGTGATATTGCTGTCTTTAATAGAAATAGGTATAAAGTATAACGTTCGGCCGTGTGGCCTCTGACACCTCATGTTCATAGATACACGGAGGGTGTGAATATCTGTATACATTGGCTGAGTGCAGTTCCATGTTTTTTTATGAGCAAAAATATTTCGGATGTCTTTAACCCTTCACTACTCTGTGCCCGTCTTTTAATGTGCTAAAGTCTCATCTGGAAATCAAATAGTAAATAGCTGAAAATTGTGTTGAATTCCTCCCCCATATTCCTTATACTGAAGACTGAGGACAGAATCAAGCCATAGACCAGAGACCCCCCCATACGGCGGCCAGAGTGAGGTGTTAATTGTACGGCTAAGAAAGAGTGGATGTGACAGGTTGGATCGGTCCCTCACGAGAGGGAGAGATTGTGTTTACTACAAAACCTGCTTCTATTTAGTGTCGGTGAGCATGATTAATCTTCTTGAGCGTAGCCTCACCCATCTGCTCTCACCTCTCTAATGAACTGCCGCATGCCACAGTCTATAAAACTCACGGGCAGGCTCGTATCACAGGCAGACAGAGAGATATGGAGACAGAAATAGAGGGCTTGAGTGGAGGAATTGGGATGAACAGAGCGAGATCACAGTTGGCACATATAAAGTGAGAAGCAGACAAGATGTACATAGATTACTCGATGGGAAAGAAATTAGAATCAGACAGGGAAGGCTGGAGAATTTAGGGGTACGATGGACAAAAAGAACAAAGCTCAGAGTGGTCTGCCACTCACAGAAGGCTTCAGAATTAACCATTTTGTGATATAAGGTGGGTTTCTAACCCAAAAATGCTTTAAAGATCATAAGCTTTTTTTTTTTTGCCATTTCTAAATTTTATGTCCAGCTATAATTATTTTCTGTCACATTTTTTTCCAGTTATATAAATACAACTAAATCGTTTTTAAAAGCAAATTGGGCTTTTATGTAATATGTTTGTTAAAAGTATAACCCATAGTTTAACATGAACGATTTATAAAACAGTAAACATGTATACCTGTATGTGCGTATTATATACACACAGTGGCGTACATACCAGGGTCGCAGGGGTCGCGGCTGCGACCGGGCCCGGCCCACCAGGGGGCCCGGCCGCCCCTGCTACCCGGTATGTAGCCACAGGGCCAGCCTCTTCTCCTGGGGGGCCCAGGAGGCGGCCACCCCAGGGCCCCCCGAGGCTGGCCCTGCTGACCCCAGGCAGGCGGGCTGTCTGTCTCGGTGGCCGGCGCGCGAGGGAGCACTCAGTGCTTCCTCTTCAGCTCCCTCGCGCACCGCACTGATACCGGAGCCGGAAGATGACATCATCTTCCGGCGCCGGCAACCCCACGCGGCGCGCGAGGGAGCTGAAGAGGAAGCACTGAGTGCTCCCTCGCGCGCCGGCCACCGAGACAGACAGCCCGCCCAGCAGCACCACTGGACCCCAGGGTATCCCCCCAGCACTCCAAAAGGTAAGGAGGCTGGGGGGATTACATTTAAAAAAAAAAAAATGTGTGTGTGTGTTAGTGTATGTGAGTGTGTGTGTGTGTGTATGTGTGTGTGTGTATGTTAGTGTATGTATGTGAGTGATAGTGTATGTGTGTGCAGTGTGGTTAGTGTATGTATGTGAGTTATAGTGTTAGTTATGTGTGTATGTTAGTGTGTGTGTTAGTGTATGTGTGTGTTAGTGTATGTGTGTGTGTTAGTTGTATGTGAGTTATGTGTGTTAGTGTATGTGTGTATGTTGGTGTGTGTGTTAATGTGTGTGTTAGTGTATGTGTGTATAGTGTATGTGTGTGTGTTGTGTATGTATGGATTATAGTGTTAGTGTATGTGAGTGTGTGTGTGTGTGTGTATGTGTATGTTAGTGTATGTTAGTGTATGTATGTGAGTGATAGTGTTAGTGTATGTGTGTATGTGTGTGTTAGTGTATGTGTGTGTTAGTGTATGTGTGTGTGTTAGTGTATGTGTGAGTTATAGTGTTAGTGTATGTGTGTATGTTAGTGTATGTGTGTATGTTAGTGTGTGTGTTAGTGTATGTATGTGAGTTATAGTGTTAGTGTATGTGTGTATGTTAGTGTATGTTAGTGTATGTGTGTGTGTGTTAGTGTATGTATGTGAGTTATAGTGTTAGTGTATGTGTGTATGTTAGTGTGTGTGTGTTAGTGTATGCGTGTATGTTAGTGTGTGTGTGTGTGTTTGTGTGTTAGTGTGTGTGTTAGTATATGTATGTGTGTGTGTGTGGGTTAGTGTATGTGTGTGTGTGTGGGTTAGTGTATGTGTGTGTGTGTTAGTGTATGTGTGTGTGTGTGTGTGTTTTAGTGTTTGTGTTAGTGTGTGTGTCAGTGAGTGTGTCTGTTATTGGGTGTGTTACTGTGTGTGTCTGTTACTGAGTGTGTTTGATGTCTGTTAGTGAGTGTGTGTTTGTCAGTGAAAGTGTATGTTTTGTAAGTGAGTGTTTATGTATGTCTGTCGCTGAGTGTGTCTCTGTCAGTAAATGTGTGTGTCTGTTAGCTAGTGTGTATGCGTCTGTTCGTGAGAGTGTGTGTGTGTATGTCTTTAGCATTTACCTTTCTCCAGCGTCGGACTCCCTTGGCGCTGGGGATCCCTCCGCCTCTCAGCTCCGAATGCACATGCGCGGCAAGAGGCGCACGCGCATTTGAACCGCCCATAGGAAAGCATTACTCAATGCTTTCCTATGGACGTACAGTGTCTTCTCACTGTGATTTTCACAGTGAGAATCGTGGAAGCTCCTCTAGCAGCTGTCAATGAGACAGCCACCAGAGGCTGGATTAACCCTCAGTGAAACATAGCCGTTTCTCTGAAACGGCTATGTTTTCAGCTGCAGGGTTAAAACTAGCGGGACCTGGCACCCAGACCACTTCATTGAGCTGATGTGATCAGGGTGTCTGTAGTGGTCCTTTAAGTGTGTGTGCATACCGCGGTCGCGGGGTCGCAGCCCTGCAACCCCTGCGACCAGGTGCCCGCCGCCATGTGTTGCGGCCCCAACCCGCGCCGAGTAAGCGCGGGGGGGCCCACGGATCAATTTTCGCACCGGGGCCCCATGGATCATGTGTACGCCACTGTATACACATATACATACACAGACGTACACACGCACAATGTGTCACTCACACATTATTTGAATGATTATTCATACATGCTCCGAACATTACGTATCTGCAGGGGGGATACAGTTTAACAGAAGCTGGAATTTCGTGCAGGGCTGTCATCTGGAAAACACTTTTATCTAAGGCCAATGTACAAAGATTCAAACCACTGTGAAAAGGGCACAAAACCTTTTGACTAATACAAAAAAAAAGTAAAAAAGATGTAAGCTTTAATGAGTCATATTTCTTCCTATTTTCTAAATTCAGACAGGTTTATGTTTGAACTAAATCAAAGCATGCACTAGGTGAGGAGGTGGCTTTGGAAAATGTGTCATAGGAACCATTAAGTTCAAGCATTGCCCAGTAAAAGGCCTAAATATTGGTTAGAAATAGGACATGTTGCATGACCAGGTAAACTAATTCCAAAGTGGTTTCATAAAGAAATCAAGTGCCTTTCATGAAATTTTCCAACACCAGAACAAAACATCAATTTATGGGAAATTTTGGAGCATAGCATGGGAAGTTGAAAGTCCAAAAAGCAGGGGTCTTTGGGTCGTGCAAGTATTGTCACTGCATTGAGTGCCATAATTGACTTGACAAAGGCTCATGTAGCAGCCAAACTGTTGTGATAATATTTGTGGTGAAAATAACCTCGCCACTGGGTTTTGGAGGGGCCTGTTTGCCAGCCTTTTGCCCCAGGATTATGGGCCCTGCAAAAAGACATGCATAAAAAGTGACTTCCATGGGAGAATGTGCCTCTTCCCCTCCCCCTTTCTCCTGTCCTATGGTTCTCCAGCAGGGCGTTGTCCCAGGGACACTGCCAGACCAGTTGAAACTGGCTGCTTTGTCCCTCCTCAACACTGGGGATTGCTATACGCTGTATACTACTGGCTATAATCACTAAGCTCTTTTAAGAGCTTGTTCCTGCTTCGCTCTCTGGAGGAAGAGAGGTTCACCCCCTGGAGCCTGGAGCCTTGTCATAGGTCCAGGGTGGGTAGGGGACGGCAAGACCCCAACCAAGCTGCGGCGGTTCATGGGGTCTGCAGTGCTTATGGTGTCAAGTGGAGCACTAGGAGCCCTTGAGAAGCACTAAGAGCATTCATCAACGGAGGTACCCAGTCGAGGTGCCAGGTTTTCCGTTACAATATTTTGTTCCGATATTAAGGCGGCCTCCAAACCATTAGTTGTGCCTGGACATTTGCATATTTTGCCATAATTACATAGGCATCATGGCAGCTATCATGCTTCAATCCCTCCTAAAGAAGCCTTCTGTCCATCTGACCAGCCAATAGAAAAAAAGAGAAGCCTCATTTTCACTAAGTACTAACGCACCTTCCTCCACACCTCCCACCCTTCCTGTTTCATATTGCACTTCCACTTGTCTGTAGAAGAGGTGCTCTTATCTTGTAGATCTAGATCCAAAACTGGAGCCTCATATGTTTTAAGTTGTTCACCAAAGGTTGGGGCAGACATCATTTTTTTTATAGCATGCTTCCCTAACTGCCCCACTTAATTACATCTTCATTCCCTTTACATCTTACCAGTGGCAATCATCCTCTAATTCTCACTGGTGATCACTTTCATATTCCCCCCTGTTATTTCTTGTTTTAACTTCCAGTTTTAACCATCAGATTGTCAGCTAGCTAGCCAAGTACTTGAATAAAAGAGCTTTAATGGCTGGATCTCAGCACACGGGCAGAGACGTTTTTAAAGGGATCTTATAGTGCCAGGAAAACAAACCCGTTTTCCTGGCACCGTAGTTTAATAGGTCCCCCCTCCCTTTTAAGCCACTTACCTCAATCCAGTGCCGATGTCCTTTGGCGCTGGGTCAGGCTCCGCCCATGCTCCTCCCCCACCAACATAAACCGGCGGGGGAGACCTAATGCGCATGTGCGGCAATAGCCGCACGCACGCACTAGACCTTCCCATAGGAAAGCATTATTCAATGCTTCCCTATGGGGAAAATCTGACGCTGGAGGTTTGACAGCCACAGAGGGCAGACTTAGAGCTGCAGTGTAAACATTGCAGCACTAAGTGCAAAAGGGTCATAGCACCCAGATTACTTCAAAGAGCTGAAGTGGTGTGGGTGCCTACAGTGTCCCTTTAACTTTTGTATTGGTCTGTGTATGTACTGTCTTTTTCTCCAGTTGTACAGTGCTGCAGAATTTGTTGGCGCTTTATAAATGTCAGCAATAATAATAATAATAATAATATTAACCACTGTTTATCATCTGAAATAGACACAAACACCTGGCGGTACACATTGTCCGCAGTTCACTTGCTGTTTTGCCCATTTATCCTGAAGATGACTTGCCACAATAGTTCATTGGCAATGTCCATCACACTTTTTTCTTTTGATCTCTAAAACAATTGTGACAGTTAATGATTTTTAGTTTTCTGACAACTATGTTAAAAGATGCGTTGCATGTACCTTAGTAACTTAACAAGTAGACAGATTTAGCTTCTAAATTAAACCACCCAAAATAGCTATTTTCTCTTAAATGTAAACATTGGTCTAAACATAGTGTGGCGTCTCCGGCTATGTTTAATTTATGCTGTACTGTGTATGTCTGTTCGAATCCTCCCCATCCGTTAGCATTGCTATTAAAACTGACTAAGTTGTATATTTTGAAGTAGAAAGGTAACGGTTTATGTCCTCGTAGTTTTCATTGCTGTATGTTACAGCAGGGGCTGTTGGGAGGAGGACCTGGAAACGGTAGTCTCCCTCCAGTCCCCTCAACCAAAACCCCTGCTGCCCATCTTTGGAAACCCCTGTTGAGTGACCTGCTTTAAATATCAGTTATTTTTAATAAAGTGACAGTTGAGTGACCTGCTTTAAATATCAGTCTTTTTGAATAAAGTGACAGTTGAGTGACCTGCTTTAAATATCAGTCTTTTTTGAATAAAGTGGCAGTTGACTCTCAGACTGTGTTTCGTCTGGTTCTTGGGAGGATTTGGGAATATTGCCTGCTTCCAGCTTTGTACTTGGTTATTGCATTCTACCAGCAGAGATCCTGGGATTATAAAATTGCAGCTCCGCAACAATACACTGTCTTGGCTCTGTGAATAGTCAGTCATTAGCCCTTTTTTACATAGCTGTGCTGGGTATATGGAGGTCTCCTTCTATCTTTTAGTCTTGCTATATGGCTAGCTACCCAACAAAACACACTTTTTCTGTGGGTCCGAAACACATTCAATGCATACATCAGATTCATCAGGTCCAGGCGAGTGTTCACAAAAAATAGCTCACTGCAGCAAAACACCTATCCTAATTTCACTGGAAACACGAGGACAGTGAAATAATGAAGGTGTTTTTCAAAATTAATTTTTTCATAGATTACAGCTGAAGAATGAGTCACTAAGCTAACTGTATATCTTAACAATGAGCAGACAAACTAATGTCACATTCAGAATTTGTGTCCCAGCCGAAACAGGTTAAGTACAACTCATCTTTATAGAAAATAAATATGCATTATGAAGTCAACATGCATATAGCACTACTGATATCATGGCACCAAAAGAGGGTAGGAGAGCCTGCAACTGGTAGTTGCTAAACTACAATGCTTGCTTACAGTGATACTTGTTACTCTTTTGTATTGCACTTTCACTTGTTTGTAGAAGAGAGGTTCTTAACTCCTAGATTTAGATCCAAAACTGGAGCCTCATATGTTTCAGTTGCTCTCCAAAGGCTGGAGCAAACACGACATTTTATTTATTTCCTAGGTAATTGCCCACAATAAATAGTTTTCTGCATAAGTATTGCCATTTAGAATGCAATGGCAACTAATCTAATGCTGGGAAACATCTAATAAGGGATAACGATAATAAAGGGATAAGAATGGGCCTTCAAGCTAATGCCATATACAGAATTTGGGACAATGTCTGAAATTATTAAAACCTCCACTATGGAATGTCCCAAGATGATATCACAATTTACAGATCAGCTGTAGATACATTTCACATGAAAGCTCTTTGGTATGGCTTTGTAAAGGGCTTGGTGGAATGTTCCATTTTCCAATCTCCTTTAATTAATTGCCAATTTTCAGGTTTGTGTTGGAGTTTAATTAACGTGGTGGAACTCTTACATCTCTGGAAGGGACAGTTCCACGTTACTTCTCCCATGTAAACATAAGAAAAAGTACTGAAGTATTTTCAATGGTTAGTAATGCTTTGGCTAATACCATACTTATCTTCATACCAATTTCTAGTTCAGGACAACTTGCCTTGGATGGTCTTACGCATGCTTAGACACTT